GTCTTTAACTTACTGGTTTGGCTGTTTCCCATGCCAGCTGTGGGAAACCTTGGCTCACTGTTTACACTGCCTGTTATGGGCAGAGTCACATCTTTTGTGGGATTGTTGGGGGTGGCATCGATCATGTAGCAGCTGGTTGATCTGTTTGTACCCCCAGCGATCATTCATGGAATGTCCTTTTTGTATGCAATACAGTCTGTGTATTGGAGTCTCTCTTTACTGGTGGTATAATTTTTGTTGGGCCTGGTCATTGGCAAAACAAGTACTGTGTCCAGTTTTGGGCACCACGGTATAAGAAGGCCATTGAGATGTTGGAGTGGCTCCAGAGAAGGGCAACGAGGTTGGTGAGAGGGCTGGAAAACATCCCTTATGGAGCCTGGCTGAGGGAACTGGGATTGTTTAGTCTAGAGAGGAGACCATGTTGCTCCCTACAACTACCTAAAAAGAGGTTGTAGTGAGGCTGGTGTTTGTCTCTTCTCCCAAATTACTAATGATAGAACAAGAGGAAATTGCCACAAGTTGCACCAGGGGAGGTTTCAATTGGATATTAAGAAGAATTTCTTTACTGAGAGAGTGGTTAGGCACTGGAATGGGCTGCCTAGGGAGGTGGTGGAGTCACCATCCCTGGAGGTGTTTAAAAAACTAGTAGATGCAGCACTAGAGGCTATGATCTAGTGGTTAAGGAGATGTTGGGGTATAGGTTGGATTTGATGATCCTAGAGGTCCTTTCCAACTGTAGCTATTCTGTGATCCTATAGTCTGCTTTCATTCTCAAGGGCTCACCATCCTCACGCTATTTCAAACTGATTTATGCTAAGCGAGTTTTGAAAAGTGAGAGCAGCACAGTTAGTGGTAGACTAAATGAAAATTCATCTGTTAGTAAAAGACAGTGGATCAGATAATCTGGAGGAGGAAGCAAAGGAAACAGTGCCTCTAGATTGTGCTTTGGCAAAATGTCTTTCCGGTTACCACATTTTCTTGTAGTATTACCAGGCATGGAGCTACTAGGATGACTTGGACTGGTTGTGATGACATAAAGTATCTTTGATGACCGGGCTGCACTGATGCTGAGATTTGCTTGTTCATTTATTTTCTCTGAAACAGTCTGATTCATTGGAATCTTGTTTTGATGTACATTGTCCTTCACAGCTGGAAACACAAGAGTATGAATACAACAACAAATGCTTAACAGATGCAATAGGACTTTATTTTGTGCTTGCAAGCAGGTATGTGCTGCATTTGGGTTTACTTTGAGAATTTCAGTAAAGTTATGTTTGATGACAGACATAACTTCACCAAAGTGGAGTTCTCATAATGGTTTTCGGAAGCTAATTGTTCATGATAACAGTAGGTACAACTCAAGAAATAAAAGATTTTCTCCTGACAACTTTCAATCTGAGTGGCATATACTGTTTGAAAAAGCCAAGATGAACCAAGATGCAGATGAACTACTAGGCCTTTTTGGTTTTTTTCAGCTTTGTCATTTTCCAGTCTGTTTTGACAGATAAGTATGTATAGGATCAAATTTTTGGAAATTTAAATTTTGCTATTTATGACATAGCTGACTAGAGCGTTCCAAACTGAGAGAAATACTAGCAAAATTTTTACCCACTGAGCAGTGACAAGATACATGAAACACCTGTAGACAGGAGAGTTAAAAGATTTTTCTCTTTTTTTGCCACTTCAGAAATCTCCTATGTGAATTAAATGCTTTAACAGCTCATTGAAAGGTATAAACTGCAAAGTTAAGGTCTTACCTCTATAACTGATAGCAAATCCCTGGGCTTGATTGATTTCGTCTGAGAAAAAGTATAAAATGACAAAATCCAAAGAGATGTTGAAGGTGTGGGGAGGACGGTTCTTGCCATTAAAACGAGCTAGAACATTATAGGTATAGCCATCCAGCAATTCCACCATGTCTGTAGCATCTTTGATTTCAAAAAGGGCAAAGCTGAAGTGTATTCGAGATGCTCCTGGAACTTGTATGGTCCAGTAACAGACTTTGCCTGTGCCGTATGTGTCGGGAAAATCTGGGGAATAGATCACAGCTGTAGCAGAAGTGTAATTCCCTCCACAGGCACCAATAAGGGCTGTGAAAAGGAGAGGGAGAAAAATAGGAAAATTTAAAAAAAACAGGTTATACATTCATTATGCACAGCTTCAGCACTCTGTAGATGCTAATACTCAAATACGACACGAAGCTACATACTTGCTACCCCAGCAGGATGCCCTGCCTCTCAGACTGCTATTCTTTAGCTTCTTCCACAGCTATTATGTTGTATTTCCTCGGGATACACTCATTGTTCATTACTCTGAGACCTCTGTATCAGTCTTTGATGATGCAACTATCCTTTACCCTCCTACGTAACCATGTACTCTTCCTCACATCTCTGCAAGAACATAAGCTAAGTCATAGACTCATAGAGTCTATGAAGTCTTTCATAAGTGATTCAGGGACTTTTACTCTAGCCATAACAGGCAGGCAGGCAAGTGGATTAGTGACTGTAATTCTCACTGCTGAATTACTGAAATCCTTTCACAGACTTATCAAATTGAAAAAAAATCTTCAAAGAATAGTAAGGCTGGAATGAAACCCTGGGGACTGTCTAGTTCAATCCCCCTGCTCAAAGGAGGAGGCATTGTCCTGTTGTGTTTTGAGTCTCAAAGGATGGAGCCTCCACCACCTCTGGGGAACCTGTTGCAATGTCACACTCTCCATAAAAAAAAAAAATAAAAAATTCTGCATATTTAAATGGATTTTCCCATATTTCTACTTGTGCCTGTTGCCTCTTATCTATTCACTAGATAACACCAAGAAGAGTCTGTCTTCATCTTTATACCCTCCCACCAGTTGCTTATACAAACTGAAAGGATGCCCCTGAGCCGCCTTTTCTCAAGGCTAAACAACCCAAGATGTCTCAGCCTCTACTTGTATGAAAGATGCTGTAAATCCTTAATCACCTTTGTGGCCATTTATATGTGCTTTTTAAGCACCCTGTCTTTTGATCTTGTCCAGTTAATGCTTGACCTTAACTTCACTAAGTAACTTGAAAAAGATCCTGCTATGAAGTCTAAGGAAAATCTTTTAGATTTGTTACTACCGTTTAGATTCAAAAGGTACACACCCTGTTATCTTTATATTCCTTGACAGCTATCCAGATTCCCAGTGCAAACTTATTTACCAATGAATCCAGAGAGAAACATGCCAGCCAACTGTCTTGATGTATCCCTATATATACACATATATGTAAAAGTTTTAAATCTGTTATATATAGGTATATATGCATATTTTTATATCCCCTAAATACACAATATCTTATATAGATAATAATGTATTTCATGACAAAGCTATCACTTCCCCATATATTAGGCTGAAGGACTGAAGAATCCAAGTAGAATTATCTTCTCTGAAAGCTTAATTAAAGCCCTGTGATAAAGGCTTGTGAGAATGGAAATAAAGGAAGTGAAGTGTTTTGAAGTGTATCAGTTTTCACAGGCCTTTAAGAAGGAGCTTTAATAAATACAAACTAAAAGGAACCCAAGAGAATGAGAACAAGAACTAGCAGATGTCTACCAGAAAAAACATGTGAAAACATTTCTCTCTTTTTCTGGAGCAAGGCCTGATCATAGCCTGAGCAAACCTCACACTTCAGTGCCCTGCTATGAAAGACCTTATGGAAGAAGAGAGAGAATATGAAAGAAGAAGAATAGAAATAATGTGAAAGACCTCACAGAGGTACTGAGGCCCATAGAGCAATTTGTTTGGCACTTGGTCCATGCTAACAGAGCTGGTGACTTAATCAGACTGAATTGTTTGAATAGATAGAGTAGATAGAATTGATAGGATTGAAATGTGTCATTGAGATATCAAATTTCCTCTCTGCAGATGGCTTATAGGTATTGTCACATTTGACTGTGCTGTTTGTAATTACTGAATCACAAGATGTTCTTCAAACCAGCATTAACTAAGAATGCCAATGACTAATGCTCCACAGACACCTAAGTACAGCACTTCCCCACATGGAATGGAGATGCTTACCCCCTCTCACTGCCTTCTGGAGCTGCCAGAGTTCTGTGTTGTGGGTCTGAATATTACAGCTTTAGGCCATGATAGTAGTAGAAAAACACCCAAGGTTAATTGGGTGGGTGAGTGTGTGGGTGTGTGTACAGGGATGCAGGTGAAGGTTCTGGGGATATGACATAATCTGGAAAAGCGGAATGAGATGAGCAGGTGTTGCTCATCAGTAAAAGAAAAACAGGTGGCAGTTCCTAGGAAAGGCCTCTCTTACCTGGCCATAGTGCTCCCTTGTTGTTCACCAGAAAAGACAGTTCAAGCCCTCAGGTTAACCTTTTGCTGAGTCCTCAGTCACTCCAGAAAAGGAAAGCTACAAAGGAAGCCTTTACCAATCAAGGATTTGGGAGGCCAAGAGCAGAAGGGAACAGGATGCTGCAGTGTGAAGCTATGTGCTACCTCAGTATTGAAAACAGCACACAGCTCCAATACTTTATCATATCTTAGGGACATAAAAGAAAACCAGGTTGGTGTAGATTAAAATTTGAAATGCCTCACCTAATCGCGTATCTACGCTCTGGTAAGATCAGTTCAGAGAGAGTCTTTCTGTGACATGCTGTTTGCAACAGCTGAGTTAGTACCATTTGTGAGGAAGTAAGAGACAATCTCTGGAGCATGAGTCAGTTGTCTGAGCAGGTGTTAGTTCTTGGAAGAGCTATTTTATATTATTAATGAATGCCAATTTAATGCAGAAGTGGAAAGCAGCTTTATTTTATACTGAATTTAGGTGTTTTTCTGTTTTGTGTGCAACAGTTCTCATTGCATTTAAACCCTTTTCCCTAACTTGCTGAACACTTGAGGCCTCTCCTTTGGGAAAAATTTGGCCTGTTTCTATACTTACTGTCAAAAAGAATGACTCTGCCATCCCCACCGCAAGGCTGAGTATGGTCTCCAAAGCAAACACTGTTGCATTCCGTACTGGCTGCCTCCCCATATCTCCAGTAGTCAGGATTATTTCCACAGAAACAAGCATAACCTGATTCCATGCCTGCAAACTTTGACAAAAAAAGATGCATAAGGAAGGGAAGGGTAATATTTAAAGAAGTGACAGCAGGAGGTTGTATGAGCAAGAAAGGTGGCAGTACAATACGTGTGTTCTGGAGAAGTATGATTAGTCAGAGGTGCCACCACACACTGTTTTTATTTGAGGTGTCAGGATGCTACTTAAGACTAGGGAGAAAGATGGAATGGAAGGCAACTAGGGCACCCTATCACTCATAACTGCAGTATACAAGCATACTTTCTCCTGGAATCCTCGCATTATTAATTGATGGTTTGCCCAAATTGCTCTGGATGCAGAGAGAGGGCCAGGTCCCCTGGACTGTGAGTGAAATCTTAGACCTCTTAAAGGTTAAAGAAAAAAAGGGAAAGTGGGGAATAAATATGATAGAGAGCTCTAGACACGTTGCCACTTTGTCTTTGAAAACATTTTTTAAATATATATATGTCAAATAAATCACCTTAGATTGTTGACTTCTGCAGGAACTGATGCATGTTTGGATAGTGAGTTTATTGGAGGTCTCACTGGTGCCAGTCAAAGGTGGTGGCTCTCCATGGTCCTTGTAACACCCTAGATTCCCCGGCACTGGCAAGAGTAACAGACAACAGTATTTCTAAAGGGGTGCACCCAAGACACAGACCACTTTATGCACTACTGGGTTACTAAGCAGCTCTCTACACATTTCCATCTTGATTTCCCAGTATATGAAATGTTACTCTATTCTAGATCCTTGTCATATTTTCCAAACATACCCAGGGATAAATGACAGGTGGTGAAATAGCATCTTATCTTCTCAGCAATATACCTTTAATAGTCTGTAGTTGCTTTCTGTAAGTTGCACTAATATAGACAAGGTAAATACTTAGTTGATTTCTCCTGGTAGAGACAATTTAAAAAAAAAAAAAGACATTGAGTGCATTCAGAGGTTTTGTGGGTTGTTTTGACTGTGGTCATGCATAGTCTAACAATGTAAATTAAACAATGCAGTTTCTGCCTGATCTTCAAAACAATGGTCTGGAAGTTTTCTAAACAGGGAACCTAAACTGGTTTAGGATGGAGTTTGGCCAGTTTTACGGGAAGGACAACATGCTTATATAGGGGAATTTCCTAATATTTAAAGCTCAAATTCTGATATAAATTCAAAGCATCATATTTTATGGTATGTACAAAGTGATTCAAAAGGAGCAATATTACTTTTTTGAAGAAACACCTATTTATACTGTATTAAGGCTCCTTGGTCACTATGGGAGGTGAGAAAAACTTAAGAGTTTTCCCCCTCCAGTGCATAATTTGTCCTGTTTTTGGTTTGGGTTTGCACTTTTCACCAAAACATTAGAATTTAGCCATGACTACTAGAGAAAGGATGTGGGCTGAATATAGTACCGTACTACATAAAACATAAAATTATCCCTTGCCTACTTGTCATATCTGCTCACATACTTGGAATTAAATCTATTACCAACTCTGTTGCCAGATAATTTTTATCCCTGTAACAGATTACAAGGATCTCATCCCTATTCTTTTGGAATATTAAATACTGAGCTTGTAAGATGATGTCAGCTTACCACTAAAATCTGAATCATCTGACATCTGGAACAGTTAACAGATGTGTCTGAGAACTTGCTCCCAGACTTAGGCTACATTGCCCATGGCAGCTTCCTGACTTTGAGGAAAAGGGTTAGTATACCTATTAGTGACCAGCAAATATACTAATGTGTGCATGTTTATACTCTTCAGGAAACTGATTACAGTATTATAAAGAACAATTAATGAAGTTTGGAATAAAACTCATGTATGTACATTTTTAAAATAATTAATGTCCAAATAATATTCACAAAATAATTGTTTTCTAAGAATGATACAATTTCAATTATAAATGCTTGTATAGAGATATGACTTTGATATGCCCTGCAGCAACACACATAAGTACTGAGATTTCAAGTTACAGCCTGATTTAGCATACCTGTGGAAATTCCCATCTGCAGCCCCACCTCAGCTAAGTACAGCTGGGCAGATAAAACTCAGAGAGCTCAGATTTTTTTAACAGTGCATGATTTCACTGCCTTAAAAAAGGTTCCTAGTTAACCAATCTAGTTCATTTTCCTAGGAGACCTGGGACTTCCTAAAACCACATATTTTATTTATTTTACTTTTTTTTTTTTAAAAGTAGCTTTATTGGCAAAAACCTTCAAGTTTGTTTCCAGAAGATTAGTACTTCAGTATGTCACACGCTGAGAAAGCAGACTGCACAACTTCAAAACTTCACATTTTGTAACTAAAGTGTACTGTTTCAGTACATCCTAAAGGTAATTAGTCTTTTTGTTGTCCCAGCATTATTTTAACTTTCTCCTATCTAGCAATCAAAATTAGTGTCCTGTGATTTGGAATAAACAGGAAAAGTATCTATCTAGCCCAATAGGGAACAATCATCTCCATGTCGGCACTCAAACTCCATGAGCCCAAAGACAGATGCTCAGCTAAAAGCACTTTATTAGTCCCATGTCAAATTTATGATTAAATGCTCTTCTGAACTGGGTCAACACACAAAAAATTACTCTTGTACATCTCTTGTACTCCTGTACTCTCCTCACTGGCAATCTCCTCACACCTCTCAAGCTGAAGGACCACAAGATGAGGATCAGGAGAACAAAGCCCCTCCCATTGTAAGTGAAGACAAGGTTCATGACCATCTGAGGAACCTGAACATACATAAGTCTATGGGACCTGATGAGATACATCCCAGAGTCCTGAGGGAATTGGCTGATGTAGTTGCCAAACCACCCTCCATGATACTTGAAAAGACATGGCAGTCAGGTGAAGTCCTTGGTGACTGGAAGAAGGGAAATATTATAACCAGTTTAAAAAAAGGGTAGAAAGGAGGACCTTGGGAACAACCGACCTGTCAGCCTCACCTCTGTGCCTGGGAAGATCATGGAACAGATCCTCCTAGAAGCTATACTAAGGCACATGCAGGACAGGCAGGTGATTCAAGAGAGTCAGGATGACTTGCCTGACCAGCCTAGAGGCTTTCTACAACGGAGTGACTACATCAGTGGACAAGGGAAAAGCCATCGATGTAATTATCTGGACTTCAAGGCCTTTGCCACAGTCCCCCCCACAACATCCCTCTCTCTGAACTGGAATGATACGGATTTGATGGGGGTATAAGGAATTGACTGGATAGTCACATCCAGAGGGTAGTGATCAATGGCTCCATATCTGGATGGAGATGGTTCTAAACACTCAACCGCGCCTGGACTGCGTACACCAGCCGGGCGCCACCATCTTGGGACCGGTCCTCCACGGACACCAATTCCCAGGAGGCAACGGGGCCGGAACTTCCGGCAACGTCATCCTAGGCGCCGGATTCAAGTGCCTCTCAACCCTCAGGCTCCGGACAGAGACCTTCCCAGTTTTCTTTTCCCTTTTCCTTTTTTTTTTTTTTTTTCTTCGTTGCCAGAATAAGTTTTTGGTTTTAGACTAATATATATCTATCTATATATCTGGTCTCAACACTGATGATTGAGCGTGGTGAGGGGCTTCAACCTGTTTTCCCCTGGGAGGGGAGTGCCACGTGGGCGACTCGGCCTCAGTCCTTTTCCCCTAGTTAAAGTCACAAACAACCTGACCCGCTGCCCCTTCGGCACCGGTTTGTGACACAAGTGCTGTTCCTCACGCATCTGTGTTGGGGCCAATACTGTTTAATATCTTCATCAATAATAAACAGCAGGATTGCGTACACCCTCAGCAAGTTTGCACATGACACCATGCTGAGTGGTGAGGTCAACATGCCAGTAGGATGAGATGTCGTCCAGCGGGACCTGGACAAGTTTGAGAAGTGGGCCCGTGTGAACCTCATGAGATTCAACCCAAGTGCAAGGTCCTGCACCTGGGTAGGGGTAATCCTCATCCATAGAGGCTTTTGGGTGGTGTGGTTGAAAGCAACCCCGCAGCAGCCCTGCAGAAAAGAATTTGGGGGTACTGGTGGATGAAAAGCTGGACATCAGCAAACTGCACACTCACAGCCCAGAAGGCCTATGGTGTACTAGACTGTATCAAAAGAAGCGTGGCCAGCAGATGGAGAGAGGTGATTCTGCTCCTCTACTCTGTTCTGCCCTGGTGAGAGCTCACCTGGAGTACTGTGTCCAGCTCTGGAGTCCTCAGGACAGGAAAGACATGGGCTTGTTAGAAAGGGTCCAGAGGAGGGCCACAAAAATGATTAGAGGGCTGGAGCACCTCTCCTATGAGGACAAGCTGAGAGAACTGGGGTTGTTCAGTCTGGAGAAGAGAAGGCTCCAGGGAGATCTTATGGTGGCCTTTCAGTATCTGAAGGGGGCCTACAGGAAAGCTGGGGAAGGGCTGTCTACAAGAGCATGTAGTGACAGGACGAGGGGCAATGGTTTTAAACTTGAGCAGGGTAGATTTAGATCAGACATTAGGAGGAAGTTCTTTGCTATGAGGGTGGTGAAACACTGGAAGAGGCTACCCAGAGAGGTAGTGGAGGCCCCATCCCTGGAGACATTCAAGGTCAAGCTTGATGGGGCTCTGAGCACCCTGATATAGTTGAGGATGTCCCTGTTTACTGCAGCACTAGATGATCTTTTGATGTCCCTTCCAACTCAAAGCATTCTATGATTCTATGCATATAGGATTTTGATATGCCAGCTTTTCTAATGGCTACTGATGGACTGATCTTAAACCCAAGACACCACAATGTTGCTGTTGAAGGGTAATTGGAGTACATAGTATTAGTATAATAGTAGAGGGGACATCACTTGTTGGAGAAGACCTAACTGGCAGACACTGCTTTTTCATCAGATCCACAGTGATCACAAGACTATTATGTCCAGTTTTGAGACTACCAGTGCAAGCAAGACATTAATTATCTGAAACAAATTCAGCAGAGACCCAAGATGCTTAGAAGGCTGAAGCTCTCACCCTGTGAGAAGAGGCTGTGGGGCTGGGGCTTGTGCAGCCTGCAGAAGAGAAGGCTTTGGGTGCATACCCTACCAACTCTCCAGTACCTACATGGGGGTTGTCACAAAGATAGAGCCAGGGTCTTCACAGTGATGCGTTTTGGAGAAGAGGTAAGGAGCTCAAGTTAAAACACTAGATGTATGGGATATAAGGAAAACTGGATAAACTTGGTCTAATCTGAAAAACCAAGTAACTTCATCTGATTTCAGAGCTGGCCCTGCTTTGAGCAGGCAGCTGAACTAGATAATGGCCTGAGGTCCCTTCCAACCTAGGGTATCCTACAACCATATCTGTATATATAAGAGCACACACACACACATATAAAGCAACAAAGGATCCAAAGTATTTCTAGATAGCTGGTGACTGCTTAGTTATTCTGACCTTTAAAAATTTCCAACATAATCTTCTATCTTAATTTGCTCTTAATATTTAGGCTACTCAAGAAGCTTGGCAAAAATGAGGTAGTCAATGTTCTGAGACTACTGATCATGCTGATCAATGATGTCTTACTGTTAAACTGTCTTCACCTGGTTTTATCTATTTGTTTTCTTGTGTTTAAAAGGTCATCTCTTTTGTGCAAGCATGTTATTTTTTTTTTTTTAAACAGCATCTGACATAAAATAAGGTCCTGGCAAACATCTGAGCTTCTGCGTATTACGTGTTGAAGCACACGTATTAAAACATGGAATTAATCCTTTTGAGCTCAACCATGGTCCAGACATGATCATCTATCTGTCCTTCAAGAGCCTCCTAGATTTTTGGAACAGCAGTACACACCTGTATGCTGTCTGAAATTGTGTAAGCTACTCTCTTTATTCTTGTGTTAAAACGTATACAGGTCAATTTTAGTGATCAGCACAGCTCTGTATAACATAACTGGCTCTGCCATTCAACACTTCATCAGTATTTCAGTCATATCTATTACCTGACATACATGCACACAGGAAATACAATCCCAGTAATCAAATCTTTTTATAAGAGTCTCAATCAGGCCATGAATGTGGCAATGCAATTAAGCAGGACAGCAAGCCTAACTTTCTTTTAACTTTTGAGAGTGCAAGTTATTTCTTTTGAATTTCAACCTAATCTCATTAACAAAGAGACCAAAAAAGTAAGGAATAGCTGCATCATTGCAAACAAACCATCTAAAGCATTAAGGTCTGAATTCTCCATGTGAAATGTACTGTTCTCTCAGGACTCAGTGCAGCCTCTTCCCTTGAATTTTGTTTATGTCCATTCCAGTCTGCTTGGTAGTCAAGCCATTAGGAAGAGGAGAGGAAGAAAAGGAAAAGCTAAGCTCCTTACTGCAGTAACTACCACTGTCTTCTGTGATTATGCCCACCCATCTTCATCTAACATTGCTAAATTCTATAGAGCGTGTTCACACATGCAGAATGCCAGAACACATTTCTGAATTAAACATTTAGTGTTATAAGTATTAGTGAATGGGACACATGACATAATTATGCAAAACCATCATCATAATGAAAAATTCTTAATTGTAGATTCTTAATTATTGTTGCAATGAATCATTCCATGCAAATCTCTCTAGGCAATCAAGACACATCATGTTGTTGGCATTGTAGTGGTATTATGTGGGTAGAGTTTATAGGTAAACTATGCCCCAGATACTTGTCTTTTCTAGTGGTAAATATAATTATGGAGAAGAATCCTATATAAGGCAATTTTTTACTTCTCTAAACTTTCAGACAGGATTTCTTTACACAATTGCTGTCTTGCTCCATCACAAAATTCAGTTTTGTACTATGCATTTCACAAGTCTGTTTTGATGGTCTTATGATTTAGCATCACACTTACTGCAAATAGAATAAAAGTCTTTTTTTACTTACACAGCTTCATAAACCATGAGGTTTGTATTAAGACTTGGATGGGCTTGCAATGTACAGTTAGTTCTAAATTCCTTTTTCTAGTATCCAGTTTCAGTGTACTGCTTGAAGCAGCTGCTACTGGTCAAAAGGACATTTTGTAAATATAAGTCTGGATTATCTGTGCAAGTAAGTGTCCAAGTTTAAATCCTCTGCTCCCCACCACAGAGAAAATGAATGAGGCTTGTTTTAAAAGGATCCTTTGTGTAGAACAAATGAAGTGGAGAGAATTTGCCTCCCAGCTTTTTTACTGGTGCCATATCCAGAGAATCTGTTAACATCTGTGGTCTTTAAAGAAAATGCAAATTCTTTCATTTTAGACCAAGATAAATTTCTTAATTAGGAGGGTCATGTTTCCTAAATAGGTCTGGTATATTAGAAAATTAAGAGTAAGATGTCCTCTGAACAATGAGTATTGAAGTGTTGAATTATTTTGTGTTATTTAAATCAGACTCCTTAATCTGTATTTAAGTTTATGTAAAAGTTACTCAACTTAAGGTCACACTTAGGTATTTGTTTGCCTCACATTAAGATGTGAATCACTTTCACATTCATAAACAAAGAAAACTGTGAACAAAGTAAAAGATCACTTTAAATCCATTTTTTCTTTCTTTGGTTTTGTTTTCTTAACTTCAAGTAAGAAATGTGCTTCTTCCAATAAAAAGTATGCTTACGTAAGGACAGCTTCTCTGTTGCTGAACAGCATACATGTAAGTTATCTCTTAGAGAGTATTTGCACAGAAGTTAGGAAAGCAAGTAAAGGCATTAATGATTAGACTTGATTAGACTTAATTAGACTTTGTTTGAAAATCACTACTCACTGTTGTATAACTGCCAATCTCTGTTCAACAGAGATGCAGGCCTAAAAAAACTGTTTTGTGCTCTTACTTCGGCAGGATGGAATCTCACAGTATTTCCAATATATTCCATCGTCGTGCTCTGCAATGTAGCACCATGGGCTGACATCTCCATCAGGGTTCCTGAAAGAGGAAAATAAAGAGAGTGAAAAGTCATGAGACATTTTCAAAACGCACAAAAAGATAAATCTTATTAAGCTTCAGTATCATCACTATGTTTGCTCTAATACCTACTGAATACTTAACCCATTGGATTTACCTACCAAGAAAAAATGCAAAAGAGGTGAGAAAGTTGAAATTACTTTGGTTATTCCAGTAGACAGCACACATAAAATGCTAGTAGTATGTTCAACATAATTTATTTCTTCAAGTCTAAAAGGTGCAGAGCTATTTCTGGACAATACTGAGAGAAAAGGAGATTTTCAGCCCCACATCCTACGTACGGGTTCCTTAGAAACCTAAACTTGACTTTTGCCTTGGTACAAAATTGTCCAGACCTCAACTTTCTGTATATATGACGACAAAAACATTTATCCAATCAAAGTCTTCTGGGAAAGACTGAGGTCTTTTCTTCCCCTTCAATCAAGCTGAATATATCTGTTCCAGTGATCTGATATATGGATGGATAAGAAAATTCCTTATGTGCCCATGATTACTCTTCACTGTTGTGCAGTATCCTTGATGAAATGCCTGCCTAATTAATCATTAGGTTACTTAAAGCTTTTTCTACATATACTTTGAAAAATTATTCATTATTAAGAGAATAAATTATTTTGGACAGTAGTGCTGAGATATGACCTTCTCTTGTATCCAAGGCCAACTGCAAGCTTTTTATCATGTACATTGGTATGAATTCAATTAATTAGAACCTCTGCCTACACTGGAGGGCCAGTTTGGCTGCACATTGTCGCTCAGCATGTTAACAACTCCTGGTGGGAAAGCCAGTTTTAGAACTGCTGGGGATATTTTTTGGTCAAGTAACAGAATGCTGAAGACAATTTGTAGGTTAAGTTCAAGTTAAATGACTAAAATACTGCTAGTTAGGCTTTCAAGGAGATTAGTAAAAGTAGTGGATGAAGAAAGCCCAAGACTAGTGTACTAGGAAAGTACATGTCATGGCAGAGCTTCCAGTGGCTAAAGAAAGCAGAAGACTAAATTCAAGGAAAGCTTGTACTCAAAATAACTAAATTTTCCTTGTTTTCACAATTACAGGAAATTTTGCATTTACACCTACAGGACAGAAATCACATGTCTGAAATTGAATCATGGTAATGGCACTCCACATACAAATGCCTTAAAATGCAAGGAAATTTTTGCAGAGAAATGTAATGAATGTCTTTATAAATCTTTGCCTTGAACCTCAAAAGTGCATGCTGTTAGAAAACAATTGAGTGTCTTTCAAAATCTCCAAAAACTTCAGTCTGAATAATTTTGTTATAGCTGAAATGACATTTAGTGGAACACTATGAGGCATTTCCATCTCAACAGGGTGTCTTGCAGTAAACAAAATATTCCAAGTAAGGACCACCCAAGGAGAGATAACATGCTTCTGATTAATGCTTTAAGTGTAAAATTAGATTATTCAAATGCTGTGGCTAAAATTGAGCCTCAAAGCAATGTACTGTGCCTTAAAAAAAATCCTGGTGAGATATATTGCCTCAGAGAAGGGATGATCAACTTGTCCATTGTCACCAAGCAAATCAATGGCAGCAAAAGAGCTAAAACGGCACTATCTTCACTAACAGGGCCTCAGCAAGATTTGCATGCTAAAGAGATGCCCTGACACTCTTAAGAGTGACTTTTCACTTTTTTTTTTTTTTTTTTTTTTAACACAATGTGAGGTTAAAAAGCATCATTAGTTAGAATCATCATTCCATACACCTATGAGAATATTCCTGGGCGAAGTGATACAGCATAAGGAAACGGCTAACCATAAACTCCATCTCAAAGAGGATAATCTAACACCCAGAAGATCAAGGTTAAAAAGCTGTATTTGGTAAACAAATACATACCAGATTATAGGTTTCTTGCTCGTTGTAACACTTACCAAATTCTCATTTGCTAAGTAAAGTGGTTTAAGTGGTGTAGTAAGGATCACTTGAATATCTGGATAAACATTCAGTTTATTATGCACATTTTTGCAAGGCTTGTACATGTTTTGCTTTGTACTAACCTAAGTATTAGCCAGAGATGACTGCCAAAAGTAAGATCCTGTAGATACAGTCTATCTAGGATATTGCCACACAACAATTATCCAAATTACATACTTGATTCTGCTATTCGTATCAGACAATTCAGAAGCCACTAGCCTTTTTATAGCTCAGATTAGTATTCATACTAAAGACAACTCTACATGTCACGAAAACTGTTATGCGCATAGTGTTGTTTGGCTGAAGGAGGCTGTGAAGTTGGTGTGAAATGTTTTTGATGGGAAGACAGTCCTTCCAGTGCTCATATGCCAATCTCATATGTCAGTCTTGATGGGTTTATTTGGTTTCCAGGCCATTTTCTAAATGCCCAACTTCCATGTAACTTCTCTTGCAGGTGGTGTATTTTGGTTTGTTCCTGTCAGATGCTGGACTGATTCAAAAGCGAATCAATGCAGAACCTAGCAATAATGCTTTCTTCTTCTATGGCTGAAAACAGAGTCCACTTGTACAACAGACTGAATTCATTATTTTGAAGCACTCCTGCAGCCACTAGAAAAGATCCCAAGTAAGTTTTTTTTCCTTACCTGTCCTTCACCAATGTTCTTCAATGAGAAATATCCCCCTGAGTCATCAGTTACTCTGGAAATGCCACTGACTCTCTTCAACAGGGTGCTCATCTGTCCGCTGTATGTCACAAGACCTCTTCTGTGCTTTCTCACTGACTCTCCATTAACTGGCTCTGTTCCTGTTCTATTTTCTTCAATGTCTATTTTAGATTAAATATGGAAAAGCTCTCGGATCAAGAACCAGGACCCTATATTTGCAACTGTGAACTCCTGCATATTAATTTTGTCTTATTTATCCTGATTTATACTGCTTAGAGTGAAATAATTTCAACATGAAGGTGGCAAGTATATAGGTTCTAACCTAGAAAGCCTATAACCTGCTAAGTAAAAGTATCTTCCAGGAGAACTGAGGTGTTGTTCAAGCCTTCCTGAAGGAGAGAGTAGAGCTTTTCTTGCTATGCCCCAGGTAACTCAACTCTTAACCTCTTGGTTGAAATATCTCTGTCCCCATTACCCAGTGAGAGACACTACTCAACTTCATATGCATCCTAGATGAGTTGTTGATCACCAGTGATTAAGGAATGTATTTATCAGCTTATTCCCTACCTACTTCCATAGCAAGGATAGATAGACATAAGAACTTTGCTGGTCAGTCCTACAAAGGCAGAATTTCCTCCATAAATGTTGCAAACCAAAAAGCCTGCAGATCCTGAACACCTCTGAACTTAAGATTCTTGTTTGGCTCCTAAATTCTGAAGTCCTTATTTAAGTTTCATTCCAAGTACTGCTCATAGTTATGGAGAACTTCTCCAGAAGGTAAGTAAATGAAAGGCAATCTGCCATGGTTTCAAGCTGGTATTGTAACCACTGACAGTTAAGCTTCTGAACTCAAATAACAACTTCAAGTCAACAAACTGCTCACACACTCACTGCAAATTTTTAGTGACTATATAACTTTCACTGGCACAAAACTTGGAACCAGTGTATAAAAGAACCAGGCTTGTGGGTGCGGATAAAAACTGTAATGTTCTAGAGACTCCTACGGACATTCCCTAGTGCTCCTGTACTTCTGACTCAGATAATTTTTTTTTTTTTTATTATATCTATCTTTTCATTTAAGTAATCTCTAGTCTTTCTCCATTATGCTAAATTATAGCTTTGATATTTAGTATGGACTCCAGGTGAGAGCTGAGTTGAAAAAGTTATTCTACTAATGGTGCTTGCAGATCTAGGGTACTGACCACAGGACAAACCAAAACCTATTAGATATCCATGATCCTGACATTATTCACAGTAAGACACTCTTCTGCTAACTGCTTGCCCAACTAGGAAGGATATTATCACTAACAGACAGCCCAACAGCCAGATACCTCCCTCTGGTCTTAGATCATATACAAGAGATCCAAGGTGGTCCACCACTGGAGGAATCAATAGACTAATGTATTCACTCACAACATATAGCAAAGAAGTGAGCGAGTCAGTTCCAAAACCAGTCCACGTGGGAAGGAAGGACAGACTCGGGCAATCAGTCCAATCCCAATCATATAGTAATTGCCAGAAGAAAGCCCCATAATTCCTCTCTTGTCTCATTTTAACCCACCATCACTAAGAATTCTACTTACTGGGAAAAGTCAGGGAACCCTTTCAACAACCAGAACCCACACCACAAATCCACTACATAAACAAATCTCCCAACCCCACTGTAAGCAGAGTCAGTTCTTATAGAGGTGGGTTCTTGTCCCACCTCCAAGTTAATATGGAAGGTGTGGTGATCTCCTGATCAGTTCTTACCCAAGGCAGGCCAGATCGTGGGCGAAAACCAACCAGGAGGGGCTTTCTTGCCTAGTTGTGGGCATCACCTCTATGCCAACCCTCATTCAGAGATGGGGGTTTAACCCCAGCACTTCAGACAGGAAGCTTCCTAATTTTGTGTTAACTGTTTAAAGTAACACTGAGTATATAGGCAATGTTAGTAGCAATGAGATAATCCTTACCTGCAGTAGTTATGCTCTCCAAGCCCTCCCTCCCCATTGGGATATTTCAAAGTATTGTAAGGATGCTCAAAGGTCTCATTCCAAAAAAGACAAGGTTTCCCTGCATATCGGGAGGTCTGGTTCTGAGTGCCACGATAGTCAGCCCCATTTGCTGTATAACATTCTGGGAAGAAATGGAAATGGAAAAAGAGAAATAATGTATGTAGGTTTAGTGTTTGTATTTCCCTTGCCCACCACCCCATCCCCAAGAGATCATGTTTCCTTTCAGTAACGTGTTTCCTGCATTGCTTAGGCAACTAAAGATGCTGTCTAGGCTTTAAGTTTTCTCTCAAACATCTGTTGAAGAGATTGTTGCTTAATTAGTTTACTAAACAATGTCTAAGACAATTAGGGCTGAAGAGTGAAGAGAATTAAAATGCATTTTCTGAATAAGCATACATTTACTCTCTCCCCTGTGTTTTACTCCTTAGGATGAATCTATAACTTCTTAATTTTCCAAAAATGAAATTAGACTGTATCCGTCTGCACTTATCCGCATACTACCCAAAACCTCATGCTATTGTAACTGAAGTTGTGAATATCTGTACTTTATAAAGAGGAAGATGTTGCAGGCATGGATCTTGCAAATATTTATATCCTGATTTAGAAAAATTCTCTTGGCATTTTTTCTCTGGACTGAATTGCCTTGGAAAAAGGACCTTTGGTAGACTATAATCATGATATTGTGATTTGCTACTAATGCATTTATGCTTTCAGATTAAAACTTAGAAATCACTATTCTTCTGCCTTGCCCATATTTTTTTCCCATTTATGTTTGTTTTTCTAGCTTCCTAATACTAAGCAAGTTAGAAATTAAAGCAGAGAGTGATTTCTTTAGTCATTAAGTACACTATACCCTTCTCAGCTGAACTACAAATCTCATGCTGCCTGGCTTTGCTGTGTCTTTCTAATGACATCTTCTGATAAAATAAATATTCATATACATGAACAGTGTTACCTTTACTAAAAAAGCAAAACATTTTTTATTAAATTAGGCACTGTGAGGGTGACAGAGCAAGTATTTTTCATTTTTAAATAAAAAATACTTCTTATTTAAAAGTAGTATTAAAATATAACAGTCCATGACAGAATTAAAACTGCTACATTATAGTGCTGTAACTATTTCTTTCTACTGAGTAGCATTACTGAGGAAAGTCACAAATGCTTCCTCCTAACTTGCAGGCTGTGCAACCTTCTGCTTTATCCGGTGGTATTCTCTGTAGAAACCATGTAACAGCTGCAGAGATGTTTTGTTGCCCTGAGGGAAGGGAGAGCTCTCTGAACTAGAGTACGCTGATCTCAGGTGTCCCTCATGAGATGTACCTTACAAAACAAGACTAGAAAGACCTGTGTGTCTGCAGTTGGAAAAAGAAAAAAAAACCATCCCCAGCTTAATCCTGGTTTTACAAGTACACCTTTTTTGTATTTAGAAATACTGTGGGAGAAGGGAAAATACATTATTAAAACCATGCCTTTTAAATTACTTTAGTCTGGGCCCACAAATATCAGAATGGTGTAATTACAATGATTTTTTTCACAGTTTTATTATATAGCAGATGAAAGCTGATATTCTGTGCCTTCGCCGCACATTTTCATGCCTAGGCAAGTTAGGGTTTCTATTAAATGGAATTTTATTGCTGAAGGCACACAGAAGAGGTGCCTGCACACTCATTTAAATATACTGCTATCATCCATGGACAGAAAGCTATCTAATTTAACAAAAACAAGCTTTAAGTCAGTAGTCCTTACTGTAATTTACCTGACTGCCTTAACCATGCAGGTGAGCTACATACATTTACTTGAAGATGTAAATCTGAGTTTCCAGTGTTCAGGCCACTGCAGGCATTTGCATAACATATGAAAAAAAAACTGCTTTAAAGTCACCACAGCGTTGCCAGTTTCTTCAATACCTCTCTTGCTTTGCCATTAACGTAAAAGTTTTTCTGTGTCATGGCTGAAAAATATAAGCTGATGAATTTGATAGAAAAGAGAGGAAAACATAATCAATCTGGATAAACAAAGTATAAACATACAGTATAAAGAAGCAGTTGTGTGAAGTGATAAAAATATCCAGAAAAAATGTCTCCTTCGGCTTACTGCTATTACTTTTTTTTTTTTTTGCTTCTCACTTCTAATGAGAAGCAGTATGTACTCACATCTACTCAGAAATGCAAAGAATGCTACAATACCTGAATGTAATCTGGCACACAGACTAAACTGAAGTTAACATCAGCCCATTTTAGGATCTGCTAAGACTGGCTCATGCTTTAACGTGCAGTAGCAACTGCTTTCCATTTTCACATCAAGTTCTCTTCAAATTTCATTGCACTAGTACTTCAAGAACATTGCACAAAAGGAAGACAGAGCTCTCTTCACTCCTCTTAACTGTATTTTTTTGTTCCCAAGACAATAGGTAGCTGTAACAGTGCCTCCTGTGTTCTTTCACATGGCCAAGGTATTTGGGAAAAATGTGCCAGCTGAGTGTAGTGAAGCTGCCCTGGCTTTGTTAGCACATAGATGTAGAAGGGGGAGGCAGTGAAACACCACATAAAATCATTGATTATCCCAGGAAAAAATGAAATTAAAACTTTACTTTTATAGATTTTAGCAGCTGCTATCAAATGAAATACATACCTTTTTGTCTTACAGGGAATTTGCTAGGAAAATTTCATTTTATTAATGATTAATAATAATTTTGCCATAGCATTGGAGTACAGACTTTTCAAGGAAATATTGGCATTTAAAAATCAGGTCCTCAGTCCTACATGCTGTTACCTTGAACAATCAGCTTTGAGGTCTGCTGACATGTATTGTGTACAGTTTTCTATAAATCCACAGTAACATGGACACAGATATCTCAGCATATTCAATATCCTGGCACTAAACAGAAGCATTCTTCCATTTATCTTACACAGCGATTTCACCATGTTTTGCCGCACAACAGCCAACTGACACTACCTCAGCAATCTCACCATGAAATTACAATTCCAAATGTGTTAAAGGTGCAAAGTGAATGTTTCAGCTGTAAACAAACCACTGTCCTCTCCATTTCAAATCTGTAGACTGCACTTTAAAACTGAAAGTCCTAAGAGATTCTGGAGAAGAGTTTAGAACCACCATTCTTCTTTTAATATTGCACCACTGGTGCAATAATCCTGTGAAAAAATATTCTTAAAAAAGGTCAGCCAGATTTGTATGCACAGAAGTGATTCAGAATCATCTAAATAAAAGTCACAAAAGAGTGGACTGAACACTACTGGTAAAACTCTTTGGTCTTAATCAAATTACCTGATTTCTCTTTGGTAGATTATGGTCATGTAGAAGGGAGGGGAAAAAAAAATCAGCAACCATCACCACTCCTTTACTGTTCTGGCACCCACTGGATCCAATTGCCTTATGCTGGTTGATACCACCGTGTCTACGAAGCCCTTCACTTGCAATCTAACATCAGAACAGTGAGTCAAGGAAATTAATACCAGATACATGAATTTCAGCAAGCCCTACTCCTTAAAGGTCTGTAAGACTCTGGTATACTATGACAGAACTTGCACCGTACCCAAGTCCTCTCTGGGTGGCAGACAGCATGGAAAAAAAAAAAGGGTCTTTGTGGAGCATAAAGCTGACAGCTTCCTATAAGGCATCAGAGTGCCACTGTGCTTGATAGATTTGTCATGTGGTTCTTGTTCATGCACCCAAGGCTCAGTTTAAACTATCCTGTCAGCCATAAACCTTGATGAAAAGACGAAAATCATTAGGGTTTTAGACAAGACATGGAGAAAGCTGTGAAGGTTCCAACAGGCCCTGTTCAGGATAATGCCTATGAGCCTTAGTGAGAAAACATGGACAGCAGTGTGTTGTCAGGGCTGTTTTATTTTCAACACACCAGGTACCATGGTTGATGGAAAAATAACTTTTTTTAAAAATAAATCCCGAGACTAGATAATTATGTATTGAGTGGCAACTGCTAGAAAGAAAAAGCAGAATGGGGATGGTTGTCCACTATGAGTGAATGCTCAGTGTATGATACAGGTTCACAATTAGTTTTATTAAAGCCAGATCAACATTTGGAAGATCAAAAAGCAGCTGTAGTTGAAATTTTTTCCATCTGTCTCGGTTTCTTCTTCGATGTAGGGACCTTACAATGATCACTTATGCCTTTGTTACTTTGGGACTGTATGGCGGCCTGCAATGCACATGGGCACTACTTTAGGATCATTTGAAAAATTAAGGTAGTGCAGAATATAACAGTTTGACTGTTTTATTGAATGAAGCACTGATGATAAAATACTGATATTTCAGATTCTGCATTGGCTTCCAATGATATTCTAAGACAGACTTCCAAATAATGGTTTGAATCACTGAAGTTTTCAATCACAAGAAGCCCAGTTACCCCAGAAACTCATTTCATGCCCCATTATCATAGACAGAAATAATACAAACAATTGAATTTCATTTGCAGACTTTTCTGTACAAATGAGATGAAAAGCAAAGAAAACAGCTGTCTACTTCTCAGTCTCCCTTTTCTGACTGACAAGTGGTAAAACTTATAAATCTGAGCATGCTTCAAAGTCCGTATTTTCTCAAAGACATATTTAATGACATTACAAACTGCAGACTGATGAGTTTTTAGGATGGTTTAAGTAACTTCTTAGAGTACTCTTCTAAGTTTGGCACTTGTATGTAGCTTTTGAGACTCAAAATTCAGATGACAAACCTGTTACTATTTTGCTGGGAAAAAAAAAATAGTTAACTTGCTTTATTTGTTTGCTTTAAATTCTGGAAGCTACTTGGGAGACCTGATGAGTGGACAGGGAGATTAAAGGCTGACAATAATTAGCAACGAGAAACTAGTTTACCCAAGCCAGAAACTAGCCTACCAGCTGCTGTCAAGAAGGAGAAAAGTTTTCTTTTAAAAAACTGAAGATTAATGAAAAGTAAAGGAAAATGGCTGCTATTTAAATCTTAGGTTTCATTACAGTGGTGTGATAGCCAGAACATTAAATGTTCTGTAAGGCTGGAGAAAGAAATAAAAGTTCCTTGAATTTACATGCTATAACTGCCTGCTCAATTCTCACTTACTTTTCTTATAGCCTTTCAGAGGAGTCAGAAAATTGCTTAAGCAGA